TGAGAGTGGAGGCAAGTGGCAGCTCTGCTGGGCTGTTAACAGTTACTTCAGTGCAACAACTGCAGAACACACTATGAGGGGATCCCTATTTTGCATGTTTAAAAATGAAATAATTTTTAGCAATTCTGTGTGTTTTTTCTTTTCCACCATTTTTCCATCTTTTCCACCTTTTTTTTTTCTGTTTAACTCAGTCCAATTTCCTAAAGGTAGTTAAGGAATATGTCATTAGTTGTTTCATTTATGCTGTTATTTAAAGTTATCTGCCATGCTTTTCCATTAAAAGGACACAGTGAAGAAAGATACCAGCTCTTTGTCTACCTCCTTTGGGGAAATGTGGAAACACCAAAGAGAGCCTGGTATCTCTATCCCTTGGGCTGGAGCAGAACCTGAGTGTGAAACCCCAACACCCAGGAGAGCTTAGGCAGCCCAAACTGCCTTGTAGGAACGTGCACAGAGCTTGTTAGCAGTGAAGAACAAATGCCTTCAGAGTCTGATGCACAGGCAGCCTCGTGCACACTTCCAGGGAAAAGGCAAGTGCAGGTGCTGCTCAGTTTCTCTCACCCCCACATGTCATGCAGGACTGCAATGCTGTGCATTGGCCTTCAGTACACACCAACTGTGTGAACAGCAGTTCCTACAGCAGAGGTGAGGGAGAGGGATACCTGCCCTATATGCCTGTACCTTGCTTTGAGCTCACGTACCTGTGCTGGTATAGGTACTATAACTTGGGAAGTGCAGGACTGTGAGGATATTTGACATTTGGGTCAGACGATGACTCTGGGAGTACTGGTGAGATCTTAGGTTGCCTGGGGGCTGGCTGTTTGGGAAAGACCTCAGAGTGGGGGAGAGAGGCACTCTTGGGGATCCATGTAGTTCCCACAGGCAGGCACTCTGGTGTGGAACTTTGGAACACACAGATTGAATTATCTACCAATTGGTCTGTTCAGAGCTATGAGTCCATCTCAATGTACCTAAGATATGCCAATGAAGGGGTCTTAGAAATGCATCCTAGAGGTTCACCTGCAGTGGAAGCCTTTGAAAATAGATAAATCCCTGTCCAGGACTGCTTCCCAGTCACCTCTGTAGACACAACACCTGACTTTAACTTGGTAGTAATGGTTTATAAAGACTTACTAAGACACGGTGCTTCGTATTCAGTTGCAAGTATGGAACTTGTTGAAACATTGGATATGTCCTCAGCTGCTGCCAAAAGGAAAGCACAGGAGAAAAGGCAAGGGGTGGATTAGAAAAGTAATACAGGGTCATCAAGCATGAAAATCTGAAACCCACTGGCCTTGCAGAGGTCTGTAGGATAAAAACAACCTGAAGTTAGTAAGTTCCTGCCCCTAAACATTGCTGCATTAGTGTATGCTTTCTTACCTCACTGTTTTTAACACAGGCTCCAGAGACCTGCTCTAACAGCAGCCCTAAGGAGCAGGTGAATCATTGTGCCTCTACCTGAGTAACTCTGGTGTGAGCCATTCACTCTGAAGTCAAATTAACCACTGTCCTTTCCCAAGCTACAGAGGCAGAACAAGTAAGGACTGAAATGAGAGAGAGCCTTCAGCAGCATGGAGACATCCATGGCCAGCAATATGTACATATGCCTCCTTTTGCCCTTAGAAAAATCCCAGTAGCTCCAGGATGTGCAAGAGTCCTTCAGAGCCAAGGGCCGAGCCCATTCATGCAGAGCCTTAGCAGATCCACCATGGCCCCAGTGGGAAGTTCTGGCTTTGCTGCTGTTGCCCAGCTTTGCATTTTGGGCTGACCTGCCATCAGTAATGCCAGAGCTTTCCTTATGGCCTCTGCCTCGTTTGGAGTGGGACCCAGGCAGGCTGCCCCAGGGAAGGGCCTAAGTACTCCCCATCCCTCTGACTCTGTTAGGACTTGCTGAATGACCTTGGCCAAGCCCCTAATTTATGTTTCTCAGTTAATAAGTACCTCATGGAAGCCTGTGTATGACCTGTGGAAGGAAGAGCTGCAGAATGCCCAGCATAGGTTCATGTTTATAGACTCTGCAGCCCAAGGAACAAGCTGTCAGAGCTGACCTGTCTTTGTACAGCTGACAAGTCTCACCTGGTGCTAATCCATGAATGCAGGCAGTAGCCCAGTGGGAAAGGAGCAGCTTGCAGGTCTCATTTGCATTTTGGTTTTAGGCAGCTTGTACAATTAAGGTGCTGCCAAAGCCAGATTTTCTTCAAAAAGCTAAGTTAGACTATAGTGAGTCTCTTGGCTTCAAATGGTCCTAAGGACTTTAATGGTCCTCAAATGGTGGTTTGCCTCAGCAAGCATGGGAAGACCAAGTAACTGTGGTTCTCTCTCTCCTTGCCATTCAGTGGAGCAACCTGCAGCTCAGCCACATTTACAGTGGATCTGTAAATAGCTGGCAAAAGAACATCTTTTCAGAATGATGCTGTGAACAATCATGTCCAGTAATTCTCATTAGCATTAATCAGTTCCAGCCCTTTACACTTTTCCGGCGAGACAAGGGAGCCTGCCTTGTTTTTAAAGAACAAATCACTGTCAATGAGCAACATGTTTAGGTATTGAAAGGAGTGGGGGAAAAGGCAGGGTATAAAAACTGGAGCAAATACCTGCTGAGCAGGAATCCCAGTGCGCAGCGGTGAAGAAGAGCACAGCAAAGGCTGCCCAGGGCTGGCAGAAGTGCTTCATGCCGGTGGTCCAGCTCCCACCTGAGTGTCCGCACAGACCAGGTCTCTATGGCTGGCAGCTCTGGAGCAGCAAATCCTCGACGAGCTCAGTGAGCTGGTGTGCCAGGCAGAGGGTGGAGCAAGGGAGCTTCCTGCTGCCAGGACACCTTGAACTTTCCTGCTGCAACAGAGTGAGGAAAGAGAAGGGCACGGATCAAAACAGCTTCAGCAGG